TCATTGTCGTCCACTTCAAAAACATTGAGTTGTTCAGGGAAAATAGTACATATTCCAAAGAATTCAGATTCATATTAAGACCTGGGAGAGGTGTGGCATTGTACACAGATCTAACTTACAGAAACAATAAAGTATACAAAGTGCACAACAGAATAAACACATCATCAGTCATTGCTAGCTATCTGAACAGTAGCTATCAGCCTTTACATATTTTCATTTGGTGACAGTTCAAGCAAGTGAACAGTCTATTTATGTTTATTTACAATTTATTTTCATTTATGCAATTGTTCAAATTCTTTCAGGTAGCCTTAGATTTGAATTTTCCTGTATGTATAATGCTTCAGGAAAATCGCAGAATTCCTGAAATATTCTTTACCATAGGCTGTTAGTTTGTTCTCTCAATTTTAAACTTGTCATACTTCAACCTTCTGATCATCAGATCACTCTCCAATTTTAACATCTCTCTTTGAACTCAGAGGACTATAACTGGACACAGCCTTCATGATGTGACTTGACAAGGGCCAAGTACTGTGGATTAACCACATCCCTTATTCCTTTGGCTAGAGTCTTGCTGATATGGCCTGCAGTTTGCTTTCCTGCTGCAAGGATGGGTTGCTTACTTTCTTAAATCTCATGCAACTCATGTTATGCTAATTTTCAAAGTCTCTTCTTGTCTACCTGCATGGTAGTTCCTTCGTTCAGTGCTTTTTTCTCACCTCTCTGATTTGTGTCATCCACAAACTTGCTAAGGGTGTCTTCAATACCATTTTCCAAACTGTTTATAAAGATCATGAATAGTATCAGGTCCTGGACTGAGCCTTGAGGTACTTCACTCTTAACAAGATGCCAATCTAGCCTAGAGGTATTAACTACCATTTTTCAAGATCAACATCTCAACCAGTTCTCTAACTGTAGCCACTCCATCTGCCCAGTCCTTATCCTTCCATGCTGTCATCAAGGATGTAGTGAGACATCGCACTGGACACTTTTCTAAGGCTCATACAGATTGGTGTTTATGAAATCTCTTTTCATATGTCATTCTTTTAGTCAAAGTACATAAGCAATGAGCTTGGTGAAGTCATTCAGAAGTGACATTGCATAGACTGTGTATTGCAGAAAGTCAGAAAGAATGAGCATAACTTTTCCTTTGGCTTTAAAAGAATCCATGAATTAAACAACTTTAAGAAAAAGGGACTATGTCCACCAAGCATGCATGCCATGCTCAGGAAAACAAAAGTCACATAACTGTTATAGGCAGTATCATAAATGGAAAATAATGTAGTAGGATTGGGAGTCTCTGGGGTTTTTTTCTGACGTAATGATCACGTAGGATTGGGAGTCTCTGGGGTTTTTTCTGATGTAATGATCATCATGGTTTAATTCTTACATGGTAGAGAGTGCTTTCATAAAATAGATAACTGGGGTTGCTGACATTATTTAACTTAATTTTTCTCTAAATTTAATCCTAATTACCTTTAATCTTTCCTCAGTTACTAACACCCTCTTTTGTGTTTAAATATTGCATGGGCAAAAGAAAAGCTGAAGAATTTTCTGTGACACCCAAATGCTCTTAGAACCCAAGAAAGAAGTTGTAATTGGTCATTAAAATAAATATCTCTATTATTGGATCTGTAATTTTTCCTTAGTAGGAAAATATTAGAATTTGCCTGGTATATTTTTACTGTGCATTTATCCACTCTTGATTTGTATGATGAGGTCTGCTTCCCTGTCCTTTGATCCTTGTTTATTCTGGCATTTTTTCAACATCCTGATATTTTTCTAACCTTGTGCTCCAGAGTCCCACTGCTCAGATATTTGTCTTTCCTAGCCAGTGCATGAGGATAGAGCAGTAAGTAACACGTTACTGATGATGATTCATTCTGTTTCCAGACTTGTATTTGTACATAGAATTAGATGATGACTAACTTAGAGCCTTTGCCATGTTTCCATTTGTGGTCCCAGACATGCACAGTTATCTTCCAAAGATCTTTAATTTATGATCACTGAGTAGGACACTGACATTACCCTCTGAATGTCATTGTGAGAGCTTCCATTTTATGCATCAGGTAGACAAGTGTCTAGATTTGCTTAATCTTTTCATTTCCATCTTTCCTGTCAGTTAGTTGCCTTTTTTATATTCCAGTGAAATTCAACTGATGAAAAGCATAGGCAGCTCTCTCACTACTCTGCATTGTCTTTAGCATTACCGAGGGAACACAAGCATGATAAATCATGTCATCACAAGTTATCTTACACAGAGATCATTTCTGGTTGATTTCAAGTTAGGTTGGATTTCCAGACAGTGATTTCCAGTTAGATGAAACAATACAGTGAACTAACCCAGATAAAATAATACACTGCATCGATGGAATATAGAAGTTGATTAACCAAATTGATTTGCACACAGTGAAAGAAGATGGAAACATAATGTAAATTGCAGCATCTGCTTCTAACAGTATGAATGATAAAGTCATACCCACAAGAAGCAATATGCACATATTGGAGTGTCATTCTCTTTAGTTCAATGTCAAATAGGCTCCTGATGCTTTTGATTGTTCTGGCTTCTTGATTTTCATCGTTGAATCTGCTGAGTAGTTTGCCAAACACAGGGAAACTCTTCGTGGTTGTATTTTTCTGAGTCAAGTGTTGGAAGTTTATTAATTAATTTTGAGGTAAAACATTCTCTGTTGTACATGGGAGTGATCTGCCAGCACAAGAAAACTGAGACATCACTCTGCACTTTTGATCACCCTTGTTAGCTCTACTGTTGTGAGCCATGCACACTGATATTCTAGGGTTTGTGTTATCTTCTACAGTCCCATTAATCATGTGGAGATCTCTTTAATATTTTTGTGCTAATTATCCCAGTAAATGAGCTGTCCTGTGCAGGAGACTTGTCCAATTTTGTTGATGATCTTTTCTCCTTTCTTTTCAATACTAGCTGTGGCTTCATCCCAGCTGGTTAAATCAGTCATCATAACATGAGCACTCTGTCCTTTAGAGGATATAGTATTTTTTTCATATGCTCTAATGCTTCAGTAGAGAGCATCCATTCCCCTGGCTATCATGTTTTGATCCTGGAGTTTAGATTTTTTTTCCCCAAGCAAAATATGGAAATGCATATGTATTACAGTTCATTCATTCTTTATTTTTTATTATATCTCATTTGGCTTTTTCATTTGTTTTCTTTTGTTTTCTTTTTTTTTTTTTTAACATGTGTCAGCAATGTGTACCTAACCATTTACTAAAATTATTTTTTTCTGCCAATGTTTTGTATTGCTCAGATTATTTATAGTGGCTAAAATGTTTACTGGGATAAAGATTGTGTAACAAAAGAATTAAAGACAGATTCTTGGTATAATTTTGAAAATATTGAATGAAATTTTTTCTAGCCTTTCTGTATTACACAATAATTTCAATTCCTACAGAGTTGATGTGCATTGCTTAAAGAATATTATGCTACATTGCAATATTAAGTGCTTGCAAGAAAAATTTGATTTAAAAAACAAACCCTGTGAGGGGAAACCATGGTCTTCTCTATCCTATGTATATCCTGAAGAAAAATTATTCCCCCTTTCATTGTTTCTAAAATCTTTTTCAATCAGCCACAGACTATATTCAGTATAGAAACAAAGTGTATAATGCAGAGCCCTAAAAATCTCCAGTTTCGTTAGCATTGACACTGGAGTTAGTTCAAATGCTCAATTTGCTAAGTCCCCAGGCAGAGTGAAATAACTCTTGGATTGTATCTCAGCAGGGGGACAAAGTGATCTCTTTTTTCTAAATAAATGTTCATTTTATTCCACATACACTGCTAATTCTCCTCTGGGGCAGAATTCCTGGCTGTCATTCAGCTGAACTTTAGAGAGGTTTGTAGTATCAATCTTTGTTTAGTATTTCCACCAGAGTTGATGGCAGAATTGTGTTTAAGGTTGACATTAAAAGAGGAAAGACTTCTTAAGAAGTCTGATAATACTAGTTCTCATGCTGTATGTCTACATTTTATTTATTTGGCAGGATTTAACCTTACAGAACATTTTCTGATACATCTTGAGTTTGAGACGTTACTAAACAGATGGGACAAATGTGATATAAAATGTTCAGTACTTGTAATACCTTCAGGTTATTCAGTCATTATGATCTCTTAAACATTGTATTTGACAAAAATGACAAAAGGTAATTATCTATCTTTTAAAGCAACTGAGGTGAAAAAAAGGAAGAAATTCATCTGTAGCTGCACAGCATCATTTCCTTCCAAACTACAGACTCCTTTCTTCCAAATTACTGATGCTTTTCCTACCACAACAGTTCTTTGTATTCTGGGAATATAAAATCAGAAATATTAGTTTTTAGGACTTTCAGTGGTCAGTTTCTGAAAGGCAAGCTAGTATTAGTGTAACCAATGATGCTCAATGATGCATCATTAGGTTAAGTCTTACCTAAAATGTTTCTCCAATTACTTTTGCAGTGTATCATGGATAAAACATTAGCTACCCTCACCCTCACAACCGTTTTCTCTATATATTGCCACCTGTAAGCCCTTTGGCTACTTCAGGTTGGCACCCTGTGCGTTAGGTTTTCAGAACTCCCCAGCAGAGTGATGGAAATAAGAGTGAAAATTTAAATTGTATCAAAATCCATAAATTCTCCTATAAAATTCAATAACATTACTGATGAACTTGGCTACAGTGAAACTCTTGATATTTTTTCACTGACTTCTAATATTTGTAGCCCTTCATCCTACGTAAAAATATATAAACAATAAAAACCAAATAAACAACAGATATTGTACATTTTTTGTGAGAATCTGTCCCAGTGTTTTGTTTTGCACAGAAAAGATGAGAGATGCAGATGAGATGAAAGGCACAGGCACTTTTAGAAGAATGCCTTGGTAAAACTTAACACATAGTAAAATCTAATAAGATGTGCAGGCCGAGAATTTGCTTTGTCTTACAAGCATATTATTCTTATTCATGTTGCATCCAATATTTGTCTTTCAGAAATCCAAAATCTCCACTTATGACAAGATGTGGGCCTTCATGAGTAGCAGGAGGCAGTCAGTACTTGTCAAAAGTAATGAAGAAGGTATCCAACGTGTGCTTACCTCTGATTATGCATTTTTAATGGAGTCAACAACCATTGAGTTTGTCACACAGCGGAACTGTAACCTAACGCAGATTGGAGGCCTGATAGACTCCAAAGGTTACGGCGTTGGAACTCCCATGGGTAGGTGATATGTCAACCATTTGTTCTCTGTTCATTCATTTTTGTTGCTGCAGTAGCATAGTCCAGTATTCTGATGCTTACCCTACCTTGCTAATATTTTTACTCATCTCTTTTGTCCACCTGGGGAAAATATTACATATTTTGTCAATGTTTATGGATTTTGTTGTATTTTCCAAAGTGAACACAGTAGTTACTTTATCTAAAGTTGGATGTTTCCATATTATAAGTTTCTCTTACATGGTGCCTTCCATACATTCAACAACAACAACAATACTTTTACCGTACTTTATTTTATAAATAAATGTTTTAAACGTATTGATCTCTGTCTTTAGAGAATGAGGTCCTAGTAGTGCAAAGCTTGCATCAGCAAATGGGGATGATGCTTCTATAGTGAGAGGGCTAATTACTGAGATTGTTAAAAGAGGAAGAAAGATTCCATACCATGCCACAGACAAAACAAATATTGAATTAACCCTGTGGGAATATGGCTTTGCATGGCAATTTCAATCTGGTAAATATTTTTCAGGTCAAGTGTTCTTTACTAAGTACAAAACTTTAGTTGCAAGATTCAAAGCCTGCTGCAGTTAATAGTTTGGCTCCTAAAATCTACAGGATGGGATTCAGCAAGCTACTGACTGCAGTGATTTTTGAAGGACATGAGCTCAGGATCTGGCTTTAGATTTCAGAATAGATGAGAATAGAAAATGATGTGACACAAAGACTCTGTCAGTACTGCACAGTGATCCTACTTAATACTCTAAGATCATTCTGCCAACTTCTTTCTAAGGCTAAAATTTATGTAAACTTCTAAGAATAATTTTATATTTTGTGATTGATGTGAATATGTTTTATGTTTTCTCAGATAAGCCTTACATGTGGTACTGATTTAATGTGTGTTAGCAGTATACACTAAATCACTTTGAGAGTTGTGTCCAGTCCTTTAAATCAAGCACATGGTAAGGAAGGTTAAGAAGTAAACTTTACAGGAATATCTTGGATAAAGAGATATATAGTCTTATCAAATACAGATTTCTCTATAGGTTGTAAATATTCACTACTACTTCAATAACACCTTTGTAATTTTCATTATATCAGTAATTTGCTATGAAATGGACACCTGCTGAAGGAATGATGATTCTTTTCACTCTGCCTTTGAACAGTCAGTTGTTAGGAATCTAGTTTTGATCCATAACAATTTTTTGAATTTGTTCTATTGTGGCTCTTTTATTGCTGAATATATTCTGGTACGTGACAGAAAGGACTGCAATTTAGTCCTACTGCTCTCCTTGGCTTCTCGTATTTTCTGATATATAGACCTTTTGTTATTTTGAGGGTGAAAACCACCTTCCATTTAGATTTAGTATGAGGGAAATTAAATTTTAGTGATCGTTTAAAATCCTTGAATAATCTGCATGAAAATTTGTACAGCATCCAAAGCATGCCCTAGAAATCTGAGTGACCATGGAAACACCAAAGTGATAGGAATCAGAGAGACCAAGCTACTTTAGAAATTATTTTGCTTATGTGTAAGTCCTAGAAGCAGCATAAACCCTCAAGAAAATAGTTGAAAAACAATCATAAATCCAGAATGTGTAAGTCCTAGAAGCAGCATAAACACTCAAGAAAATAGTTGAAAACCAATCATAAATCCAGTAACAGTATTGTAGAGTTTAAGTTTAGAGGAAGAAATGTTGGATGCAAAGAAGCAAGGAAGTAAGCCATCTTTTGGTCTTTGCCCCCTAGCTCATTTGGAGAGAGGAGGCACTATGCATGCACTATTTCTTCACTACCTTTGAGTCATATCAAAGTCATTATTTGGCTCTTATTCATCTGCAACATTCGAAGGAATAACAAATTATCTGTGTCAAGAGAAATAATAGTGCTGTTCAAGGGGATATGGTGAGCTGACAGTTGTCTTGAATCAAGAGGAAACAAATAGAGGACATACCTGCAGGAACCAGACCTCACCAAAGAATGTAAAAGAAGAGTTGAAACAGTGTTAAAGTTAGCAAAAAAAGTTGAGGTAAGATCTGAAGGAAAGGTCAGAGCTTCATCAAGGGAAATGGAACAGCACCTAAGATAAGATGTAAAGTAAGGTTTTTCACAGAAGAAATGAAGGCAGAACAAAACAGCATCTGGGCTTTTCCCAGAAGAGCTAAGAATAAGAGATTAATCCAATATTTGGGCAGTATCTATAAAATGCTATCAAAAGAACTAACATTTATAATGGGTTTGTATCCTATGTATTAACTGTGCAGTCTCAGAGGAAAGAGACCAGGCAGCCTCCACTAAAATAATGCTCTATGCTAGCACATACATTCGAAAGAAAACCTTATGAAGAAGCATATCCATAGTGTCAGAATAGTTTTTGTTAAATGTATTGCTTTACTGAAGCTAAAACAGGCTTAGAGGGTAGTGGATAATGCAAAATATTCTCATGCATTATAGCTAATCTCATTTCTGCAGGAAAGATATTCTGGAGTCTTTAAAAGTACTTATGACATGGTTAAATCTACAGAAGTAGATTATATCATTGTTTATTGATTATAGGAGTTTATAGACATGCAATTGAGCAATATTGGGTTTAGATTTAATAATCCTAAGAGTAACTTTTCAAGTGCTTGGAAACTGCAGTGTGGTGGCTTTACATACAAAACATATGTTACTGCTTGTGCCTATTTGGGAAACAGCTTTTCTCTGAGCAAAGCAATACAGGGCTACTTGTGTTAGAGGCAAGGAATTGGGAATATATACATGTCATCTCCAAAATTTACAAAAATGTCTGTTTATATCCAGGAATAGTGGCTTGAAGTAGCAGAAGTATTAGCATATAAGATAAAATTTGTAGAATAGAGTTGTTACAGGCCTTATGTGGACTAGAGTAGAAGGGATATGGTTGCTTTTGGAAAACAGCACCAAAGGAAGTAGGTGCAACATCTTGATAATTTTGCAGGCTAATAGAATAGTAGTTAGTGAGAACATAATTTGCTTGACTTTAAGTAGCTACAAGCAAAAGAGCTAAAAGCTTTCCTAACAGAAAAATGTGCTATCAGAGTAGTTTATGACAGAATAATCACCTGGAAAACACAACCACCCAAATATAGCATCAGCTTAGAGAACTGCAGTAAAAGCTCTCTACTCATGATAATGTTTTAAATTCAGAGAAAGAAAGTTGCACAAGATTAGGAGAAAAAAACCCAGCAGATCAGACACTGCATAGGTATTACCTCCTTCTAAACAAAATGGACAAGCAAAACCTGAATTTACATGATTATTTTAAAAGCATTTGTGAAGTAAACAAAGTTTAGATTGCTAAAATGTAGCAATGATGAATGAAATTGGAAGTGATGCACTATGGGCATAAAGTCGGATCAGCAGGATCAGCATACATCTTTAACATCAAGGAAATAAAGTGATGTTTGGAATAGGTGCAAGGCAGCATTCTGTAGGATATCTCTGCAGCAGTGTAAAATGAACTAGAGAGAGTGAATTTGGTGATACCTCCAATGAATGACTTCCATGATGCATGTTTGTAAATTAAAGTAAAAGTCTAGTATATTCCCTAATTCATTTTCAGTCAGCCACCTCTGGTGCTAGGCTAGAAAAACTTGATTTATAATGAAAAGAGAAGGGAAGAACAGACCTGGGAGGAGACATTGGATAGCAACTGGTACTTTGCAAGAGCTAAGGGAGACCCATGTAACTGGTGTTGTGTTTTTTTTGGTTTATTTTCTATTTTTACAACTTTGTTTATTGCTTCATAACTAGGAGTGTAACATAGTTTGCTAGAGCACATTTATTTGAGGTATTTTTATCCTCCAGTTTGAAGCTTGGCATGCAAGAAGTTTTTATCAGCTTTATTCTGACATGTTTAATTAGGAGGCACTATTTTGCCAGTCCTGTGTTCTTCAGCAATGGATCTGGGAGACAGGAAACCTTCTGGCAGTGTGCATATAGTGGTCACCATGCTGTATAGCTAATTTCTAGTTTCTAACATATTCTAATAATATGGATATGTATTATGTACAATTTTCTATTAGAGACACCTATTTCTTTTAGTGTTTGTGTCTTTGTGTGGGCATACATCTCACTATTCAGTGTTGATGTTCAAGGGAGGAAGGAAGGGAGGGAAGAAGAAAGAAAAAGAGAGAAAAGACAGAAAATAAATGAATGAAGGGAGCAGAGGGGAAAGGGAAGGAGGGAAAACAAACCTTTTGGGTATGCAGAGTAACTTATGCTTTTTGTTATAGATCCTCTAAAGTGTTACATATCATCTCCTATAATCTACATTTCCCATTTCTTCATCATGCTAGATAGAGGTGTATAAGATTGGGTTTGTTCTTGAATAAAGCCCTGCTAGGATAAATTTACCATTGCAAAGGATTCTTAAAAGTTTATGATAAATCCACATGCTTGTGGTCTTCTTATCAAACATAAATTGCAACATTTTTTCAAGAAAACCTAGTCTGTCCAGCAATATACATTTCATGCCTTACAGAAACAGAGTTAATATGACTTTCCTATGGTCAACGTACTGTAAAACACAGTAATATTAAGCGCCAGATGCTATTTTCCACAATTAATATTTATTAACATCATTGCTAATATGAAGTGAACCAGATGAAAGATTAGAAATGTAGGTTCTGTGCACTTGATATTATTCATTAATGGCCATTAAAGTTATTTTTCACTCTTTTTCCTCTTTATTATTTTTTTTCCCTTTCAAAGTGGAAGGAATATAGTTGAAATCATCCCTCAGAAAAAGGTATACTTCATCTTTCTGGGATGATTTCAGGTTCTTTTTCCTTTTCCAAATTCTTGTTTCTCTTCAGCGTGTTAGACAGCAGGCTACTTTCCATTTGGCTTGGGCATTGCCATTTGCTTCTCTGTTGAACCTGGAGCACATAAATGGCTGAGAAGTGAATATGTCAAACCCATTCCATATGAATAGATCTACTGAGCATGCACCTTTCAGATGATCTGTAGTTACGTGGCAAATC